GAAGGCCAGGACCAGAAAGTAGTCAGGATCAGGCATTCAGAATAAACACAGTGGGGTAAGCTTTTACCTCGGCTTATACAATCTGGCACTGATGGCTGGGACAAAGCAGTTAAAATAGGAACTGGAACAGGTGGATCTGATGAATGGCAATGAAAGCTGGGCGGAGCTTGGCAGGTGTATAAAATTAACCAATAATCCATTGATCAGTGCAGAGATCATAACATTTATGTCAGTGATCTGACATAGGCTACGTTCACACTGCAGCCCGAAGTGACCCAAATCCGATTTTTTTGCCCGCACGCGACCTGGATCTGATCTTTTCATGACAGTCTGAACAACAAAAATCCGATTTTTTCCAATGCGACCCAGGCCACTTGGCTATGTAGTCCTGAATCTGATGCGAATCTGATGTTTTTAAATGCGACCTATGTCTGAACGACCAGGTCGGATTCATCCAACTTGAACATCATTAATACCTGAAAAAGGTTACTATTATGCGTCTTGCTATGCAGAAGCGGCAAGAAAAACAACAACAATGGCACATGATGATGCGGAGAGCAGTGTTTATGTTTAACCATATTGAAAAGGTTGTGTTTTTATGGTTGGAAAAGACAGCTAGATGCGCTCCGGCACTACCATCCATGTTTACTTCCGGAAAAAAAGAGCACGCTGGCCCGTGACGTTATTGGTTCCTCTACATGCAAGACACTTGCATTGTATGACTGCGGTTCACACAGGAGATCACATACAAGTCGCATATATTTGGAAATATGAATGGCAACGCGAAAAAATAATCGGATTTCACAAAAAATCGGAGCATCAAGGCCTGCAGTGTGAATGTAGCCATATTCATTGTATGTCTTGCAGTTTAAGGTTTGTTCTGGTGCAAAATAAACCCCAAATTGCATCTTGACTTTTTTGAACCCTTAAACAATTTCCTTGAGGATGGTTTTGTTTTCAGGTACAGCTATCTTCCAGTTAGCTCTTCCAGTCAGCTTCCCTTTCTCTGCACAGTAATAATATCACAGAAGACAGGAATCCAATAATTGTTTATTGTAATATTCCAAAGGGTATACATTCACACTTTTTAAGCTAGAGAATACTGGATGGAGTCATAGCTTTTCAAACACAAATTAAAAAAAGGGCTAAGGTGCCTGACAGAGACTTGTAAGAAAAGTTGAGAAAAGAGCTGTTTATTAACCCCGACTAATATAGCAACTGTGTGGAAAGTCTATGCGCAGACAAGCCATAAAGTAGAGACTTTGATATTATAAGACTACTGCTGGATTGCTTGCCTTCTGTATTAGCTTTAGCTTAGTAACCAGTTCAGCTGTACAGTATAGAAGCATGGCTCATTAACACCTTTGTGTTGTTGGGTATCTCTAAACATAAAATCTCCTCAGTGTTTAGTGTATTTATATAATCATTGAAATACTTACCTGTTTAATCCTTATAAAAAATTACATAATTTAGTTTGAACACATATATGTTTGTATACTTGATATATCTGAGTAAACATTTTAAATGTGAATATTAAATTTGAAATATTGCAGTTTAAAGTAAAAAAAACCCAACAACAATGTTTCTAATTATGATGTTCATTTGACTATCTAAACACTTTTGTAGGTTAAGTTTCCCATTGGTCTCCTTATTGTTATTTTGAGTCTGAATGATAAGGATTTATATAAAATTTAAATATTACAGGTACATTAGTAATATTTATGAGTTCATAGTTTTTCTTTTAATGTTGTTTTAAAGGTTTTTACCTGTTTTCGGCCATTTGTAAAGTCCTCACACATACAGAAATGGGTGATGAAAAAAGATCAATGATTGGTCTTTTGAATGGAATCCAGTTGGGGAAAAATGTGTAGATGCATCCATCCTTTTTAAGTGGGAAACTTGCATAAACATAAGTGTTATCTGTACATTGCTGACAGTAAGGAAGGTAGAGAGAAGCAGCATGCCTCATATCAGTAGTACTTAATTTAGCATAGGGATAACAAGCTAATACCTGTAATTTAAGCATCACAACTTTATACAAAATAATTTTCTTCGTGATTGGATGATATATCATGTTTGGTGTGTTCTGGCCTTTATGGGCTGGCCATGTCAAGTTTGCAGTTGTTTGCAGCTGCAGTACTATATGTATTAAACTGAGCTCTATCGGTTGCTCAAAGCTCGCAATATTATTGTATAACCATAATCTGCTCAATAATGTTATAAACAAATCCTTGAGGCAGTCACATGTTCAGATTTCAAATTAAATAAAATCACACCCAAGCGTTCTCAGAGACACCAATTGGATGAGTTTGGACGGTAGTCTTTTTAACTAATATTATTTTGAACTGTCAGAAGAAATTGGTTATGCCACATATTTTATTTTATATATTGTAAAAAAAAAACAAAAAAACAAACTATTTATAATTTCCCTATCCATGGCCTCTTTATGGGTCAAATCCTAACATCAGTCAACTTTTCCCACATCTTTAATGAATGCTTTTTGATAAGGCTGGTCTTCGAGACCAAATGCAGCTTTTGATCTGCCCCTGCTTCTGCACACCTGAATTAAATAATTGCAAATACCTCCTCAGCTCCCTACAATGGCTGCAGAAATCAGCTCATCAACCATTTATTTGAGTCAGGTGTGTAGACAAGGAAACACCTCAGACATGTAGGACAGTGGGTAATGAGAATGGGGGTTGAAAACCCTGCTTTAGATTATATTTTTGTGTATACATTTTTTTTATTCTAATGCTAATAATCTGTAGCAATGTTTACCCCTAATTTACCAATTATTGATTAGCAGAAAGGCTAATCAATTTAAGGGGAATTTCTTTTTATTAGTATACAACAGCCAGGTTAAGAAAATTGAAAGAATGAAGAAACACACACACACATACAAAAGCCACTCTCCTTAAAAGAAAAAAAGGTTTTATTTAGATCTTTAGTAAATTTGTTACCAAAAGCCTTTCATTGGAAAGATTTCTTTAAGTTCTTGATGGAAAAAAAAAAGGCCACAATTAATACCTCAGGAATCGGCTTACAAAATCCATTAAATAGTTTTTTTATATTGATTCGGTGATCAAACATTCTGATTTATGGAGATGAAGAGAAATCGGCTTTAAGTGACTTGTACGTTCTCTTCTCTTAACAGACAAAGGGCTCAACATTAAAAAGGAAGTTTTATTTATTGATGTAAAAGCTTCTAGACACTTTGATCGGCCCAAAAAATTCAATTGGAAATTAAAATTTTTTAAATTTTATTTATTAAGAGTTGTTTTGAGAACTAGAATTAATTTGCAAAACAGAATGACTGATTATTCTGTTAAAGCATTTTTTGTTCTGTTATTAAAAGTTAATTTTTCTAAATTTATTTAGTTTAAGGTTAGGCTTCTTCACAATGCCTAAATTTATTTAAAATATATTTTTTAACAATTCTACATTGGTATCAATAATTATGAATGCTATTTTTTAGCTCTATATAGTTTTTTCTAGGCCTTGCATTCCTCAGTGAAGTTATTTTATGTTCAGAAAAGTTCATACTGACCAAATCCTTGACGGAGAGGGATACAGTGTACGCAAAGTTTTTTGGAAATCTGTCTTGGCCTACATCCTCTTCCTATGCATCTGTGCCTTCAGCTTTGCCTACAGCTCATGTAAAAAAAAAAAGAAATCCCTATATTATAAAGTTACTGCAATGAGTTTAATCTAAACCTTTCTTTTCTCTACAACAGTCCACCTATAGTTACCTCTCAATAAATTTAATTCTCATTTAAAAATTAATTTACATAAATAATTTCATTCAAAAATGCACAAGTTATAAATTTCTGATGTCTGAAATGTCAGGTGTCTATTAGTTAGAAAATTAAGACTGACAAAATTTTGGTTCTTCAGAAAACTGATTGACAATATTTCAAAGAACAACATTTTGATAAAGAAATATCTCCCTACTGTATGACATTTCCAGTGGTTTGTTTCTAACTTTTTGTTGGAATGGCTATGACCTGGATGAGTGAGAATCTTCACCAGCATACTGTATGGCTCGAGCTACTGTATACACACTGCCCAGTATATTTTTTCAACATTGCTCAAAGCTTTTTTTGCATGAATTACTGCATAGAAGCATCAGGGCATGGAGGTGACAAACCTGTTTCTCTGCTGTGGCATTCAGTTGCACATGTTGCTTTAGGTTTTTTTTTTTGCATTCAGCTTTTCCCTTTGTTGGATATTTCTCTTCCCCTTGTTTATACCCCAATAGAACACCCTTTAACATTGGTTAAAGCTTGAAAGAAGGCTTTTCGCTCCTTTTTTAATCACCTTATTTTCTCACAAACAGCTTTTTGGATCCAGCTGCTACACACCAAAATTATCAACATAAAATAAATAAATATTTAAAATATATCCATCTGAGTAATCGAGTTCCACCTCTGAAGTGAATCACCTGTGAGGCCTCGCCCTTTGAAATACGCACACCAACTCGTTCAGGCAGACACATGACGCCGATCATTTTGCATAAAAGATTTCAGACACTTTTATTATTGTACAAGTGATACCGGCATAATGAAAGTGATAATACCCATGAACATGAAAGACAGTTTTTCCTTACTGTATATACAGAGAAATGTCTTCATATCAGTCATACACACACCCACACACACTCATACACAAAAAATGTCTCTACACTTTGAACAAATTGTAAATAACATAACATTAAATAAACTTCACCTACCTTTAGGTTTACAGCTGAGTATGCATATGATGACCATCTTTGCACTGCATAGAATTTATACATATAATTTTCCTTATGACCATTGTGGGATTTTCTAAAAATAATAATAATAATAATAATAATAAAAACAATAATAATACTGCTCTCATAATGCATATCGGTAGCCTGTAAATTAACATTAAAGAACTAAGTCTTTGGCAAACGCAAATACATTCACTTGAAAGATGGAGAAAAAAAATGACTCCAGCTTCACTGGAAAAAAAGAAGGACTTTGCCTGAAACATGCAGGACATAAAGTTAGGAGGGGACATGTTTAAGGCATTTATAGCTGAATTTGTCACCCTGCTTTTTGATTTCAGAATCATCCAATCAGAGTGAATCCAAACAAATTAGACTTGGAATGGCTGTTATATCCTTACTTCTGGGGTTGAATGCCAAAGACTTAATGAACTTAAACAGTGAGAACATAAAGTAGTATAGTGCACATCAAGTCAGTGAGATGATGAGCTTTTTAAAACTGTAAGTGCCTTTACAGACTGAGACGCATTAGACTTACAGTCATTTTTTTTTTTTTTACATAAAACAAATATGCACATTTATTATTCTGCATAACCACAGTCCAGTGTTGCAAACCTCCAAAATAGTGCAAAATGAACATAAAAATAAAACGCTCAAAAGGTTTTGCCTGATTACCTTCCTGACAAATAGAGAACAAGTCAAACATTAGCCAAGCTGTGATTTAGTCCATACAAATTATAAAAAAAAGGAATTAGGAAAATTATTTCAAGAATATCTTTCCTGGAAATCTTGCAAACAGAGGGTCATGGTGCTTTAATATCATGACTCCCTCTACTTTTCAAACAGGCATTTATTCCATTTTTCGTGTTTACATTTTGATTGTGTCTCACAGATAACTTGTCCTAATCTTCTCATGGCATCAAAAGCAATTGATTTTTTTTCCCCACTCAAGCTGGATGTTTGGTCAGTGCCTGCTCAGATGGACTGAAGGAAAAGCCGCTACAGCCTGCGCAAGTTGCTGCTCATCTCCCCTGATCTCTGTGCATTGGAATATGATTTGAGTGGGAGACAAAGGGCAAAAGGAAAAAAAGAAAATATAGTCGATACATTTTAAGTTGTGGACAGTGTCCCTACTGGGACCCATTGAGAAAAGGAATGTACAGTATTGATCCGCTGTTGGATGAAATGGTGGCATCACAGGAGGGGAAATAAATTCAAGATGTTTTTTTTTTCTTTCTAGAGTGCTTGTTTTTAAGCCACTGCTATTAGCCAAGGATTCAAACTTCCAGTGTTCGTCATGGTGTTTTTATTTCTTTTGGCTTTTTGTGTCCATAAAAAATCCAGAGAGAAGACGGCGGTCATCTTGAATCCATATATTTTCTTTTTTTTTTTTTTTTTTTTTTTTTTTGAGAGTCGGGAACATTTTTTGCACTTTTTTGCCCAGTGTCCAGTGGGTCGTGCTGTTCACACCTGGGCAATATGGAGACTGAGGCCGTGGTCCTGCAGGTTGATTTGGTTTCCATGGTAACTAGTGACGGTCATAGGCAGTGGCAGCAGTGGGAGGGGCGGAGCCTCTCGATGCGGCACTATAATAATAAGGGGAACCTGAAAGTTAACAGAAGAATGAACCTTTTGAAACAACAAATTACAGCTTTCACTGTCATTTAACAAATATTGATAAGTGATAGTACATACATTAAATTGCTCAAGAGTTGTATATGCTCTGATTGTAGATATTGGTATATTTTAAAGTCTAACCATTGTCTTTACCCATATTAAAGTTATCGAAGAAAAACACATCGCCTGACTCTACTAGAAATTCCTTTAAGAAAAAAGTCTTCATAATTACACCTCAGGTAAATATTAAGTTATGGACTACTATTTAGAAGTTCAATGTCTTTAAATTTTTAAGTGAAATTAGGAAAATGCTTAAATTAACATTTATGATATAGAAATCATTAAAGTTACCAACAGATGCATTATCAGTGGTTTTGTGAACTCTGTTATGTCTTCACTAAAAGTCCTTTACTGACTGAGTAAATAAGCTACTATATAAATGGATAAAATACTTTTCTAAATCTTTTAGGTGAAAACTGCAAGAAAAAAATCAATTCTTGAGTGAGAAGTCTAAATATATTTTTATGATCATTTAATACATTAAAAGTACAAACTCACTAGTTATAGCTTATCAATGCATCAGCCATTGTATGTTTGCAGTTTGGTGAGTTTTTTTTAGTGTTATAGAAATTAAAGATGTTGGTAGTTCCCTTCTTTTCTAATGGATAACTTCTAATATCTCTATTGAGGAATCTGCAACAATTTTATATTTTATAGTCTTTAGAGGAAAATCAAACAGAATCTGTCGAATCTCAAACTGACAGATCAGACCTAAAAAGAACAAATCAGTAATCTGCAGGAAAAAAATCATAACATCTTCCCATAAATACCTTATCCTGATTTTTTTGTCCCTGAACATTTGTATAGCGGTAAATTTATCCATAAACAGCTCAAATCATAAATTTATTTGGAATGGGTGTGTGGCAGCTTTCAAATGTAGCAAAATCTAAAATAATTGTTTGAAAAATAAGAATCTGAACACTTGCTAAATATACTGCAGTAATTTGAAGTCTGTTAACAGCTATTTAAAAAAATTGGTTGATGATCTGGAAAACCTCAACTCAAACATAATTTTGTTGTTGTGGATCTAAAATAATATGTTGTCTTTTTCAGTTTTTTTTGTTATAATTTGAATATACAGATAACAAAAACATTTTTTATTCTTAAAACCTTTGTATATTTTTATTCAAAGTCTACTTTATAGTCAGGTAGGATAATTTTTAGTAGTATAAGCAAATTGTGCTTGTAAAGTTATTTAGATAAGGACATTTAGCGATGCACAATCTATTCTAAACAATAAGTAGGGATTTAGTGATTTCTGGATCCACTTATACCTAACCTGATGGACTGCTATTAATGCAGCAACTCTAGCCAATCTCTATGAAGGAATTTGTTTAGCCATTTAATTTTTATGAAATTGTACTTACTTAGTAACGCTGGATTGCTGAATCGCCAGGCTTCATTGTAGGTTGTGTACTGTGGATGACTGTAGGGGTTCCCCGAAAACTCACTCCCTGCAAAACAAAACAACAAATCAATTAGCATTTCAATGCATCTAAACCCATGCAACTTCACATGCACTCATCCGTCGTCATTCAAAAAGGGACGCAATTTAAGACGGAGAGTGATAGTCATCAGTGTGCACCCAGTCAAGCAAGTAATTTATTTCTTTTTCATTTCACTTAAGTTATGCAACACTGAACAATACAGGATGTGACACTGAAGGTGGCTTTCCCTGTCCCTTTTTATGGCTGTCTAACCCTTTATTTTGGGCCCTGCATATTTCAAGCCACTCTAATAAATACAGAGTGGTAATAAACAGCTTCATGCGTACATTTTTGATTTGTTGCCATAAATCCTGTTAATGTGTTAAAAACTGCAACCCGATCTGGTCTGAGCTCAGAGGTTTTATGCAGTAGAGTTTCCTTGTAGGTGAAGCAACTTGGAGCATGTCAGTGAACATTGCTGTGTGTATAACAGGTTTCTTTCTTTTATGAGACAATAAAGGCTAGATTTTATATGAGGTTGGTGAGAAATGACTTTCCTTTAACAGTGTTTGGGTCCTGTCACTAAAAATTAGCTGTTGTGTATAGGATGAGTTGGTTATAGCACAAAACCACAAGCCATAGGATTAAGGTGCTGATCTTTTGCTGTTTGTCACAGAAGAACAAATGGAAAGTAAAAGCAGGGCTGTGTGGATTATTTCCCCCCCGTGTGATTTAGTTGTTTCATCATCTATAATCCAAACATAAATGTAGACTGCATTGCTACTGGGGGCACTTTGCTTCATTTTTACTGGCAGCTGTTATATGAACACTGCTGTTTGCAGAGATATAGTGGTAAAGCCTATTGATTTTAAAAGAATACATGTAAAGCTGGATTCTTTTTCTTTCCGATTTTGGTTTATTCTTTCTGCATGAAAAAAAAAATACAGTAAATTAAAGTCAGCACAGCATATAACGGGGCAAGATTCAACACAAACAGCAAACATTTTACTTTCATTCTGATCTTTCTTCCGATTTTTATATAGAGTACTACTGACTCAGCACTGCTGTTTACATATTTTTTTATCTACTTTTTTGAGTTAATGCTCAATTTTATTCTTTTCTATAGAAAGTACTCCTTATCAGGCACTCATTTAAATACTTTCAATCAAAAGTTTAAGCCAAGACTGTTATTGGAGGACAGGATGAGACCTTATTACTTTTGTAGGATTTAAAAAATATGTATATTTTGATGGCAAAAATGTAGGTCAATATAATAACAACAAATGGCCACTTGCCCTAATATATATATATATATATATAAAGCTTCTTAAAGAAAAACATGAAAAACACATAGTGAAAGACACTTTTTTGTTACAACGTAACCTTAGCGTATTAATGCTTTATCTTTTTAGTTTAGTTTTTTTTAACCTTTTTTCCTTGACTTGTCAACTTTTTTCCAACTTAATTAACGCTAGATAATTTATCATTCAAGAGCTCATCTAATTGGTCTTGTACAGGCATGTAGCGGTATCTTTGCTGAATGGCTAAATATGAGGGACAGGGGGACTTGTAAGGGGTATGCAAGTGATGAAAAACTTTAACTTGCCCTTTAAACGGTTAATCCATACTTCTGATTTAGGTTTTAGTTTTGTAAACTCAACAGCTGACTTGTTGCTTTTGGTAGCTATAGAAACTGTGCTTACCTCAGTGCATCTGTGTTAAGATAACACAGATTTCTTTCTTCCCTTTGAAGGTACCTCTGGATCAGTGCATCTTTTTTTTCCCCTTAACAAAGCCACTGTCGAACCAATTTGCTGCCCTCTGCCATCTCCTTGATTATCATACCCATAAAGATTGTTTCTGGTGCATTGAGTTTGTTTTTAGCTTGATGTTTTATCCTTCTTTCGGGTCCTAGATGAATTTGTGCTGCTATCAGCCTTGCGGATTGTTTGCTTTTCTTTTGCATTTCACCTACAGTCAGGTCAGTGTTTCTGTGTTTTTCGGTGGATGGAAACAGTGATTGACCTTTCTTTGTTTTTATTTTTATTTTCATGTAATCAATTTCTGACCCTGTGCTTTACTTTAAAACACTGCATCTTTCCTGAAACAAAAAATAAACAAACACATGTATCTATGCCATTACAATATCCCCGACTTGGTGTTTTTAAGGATGAAGCCATGGGTGGTACTGATGCTCAAATATTCTAATCCCTTTTTATTTTTATTTTCTTTAGAAAGCATTCCCTGTTCAGTCCCTTTATGTTTAACTGTGTGTATTTCTTGGATGGAGCTATTGCAGTCATAATTTATGTAGTTTCAGTGTTTTTTTTTTTTTTTTTACATAGAAATCAATATTAATTGCCGCCCTGCATAAGACAACATTAATATGTTCTCACCCAGATTCCAGCTTCTGCACATTTTCATTTGGAGTGTGACACCACATTAGAGTTAACCCTAATAACAGCAGGAAATACTAACGCATTTTCCAACTCACCAGGAACCATTCCAGCGAGCGTGGAGGTTGGGTAGCTGCCCTGGCCTGTGGGGGGAACGTGAGGGGGATACCCGGGTAAAGTTGTGTTGGCCATATCCCGGCCTGCAAAGACAAAGTAAAATCACCTGTCATCAAGGGGTCAATGTGAGACAGTTAATCTCATTTAAAAAAATACAAATATTGTTAGTTTTATGAAATGCAAAATAAGGCATTTTAAACAGCATGTGCTCCTAAAAATCAAAATCTAAATGCAGGAAACATCAAGAAACATCAAATCACAATTATATAAAAATTCTAATAAAAAATAATACTGCTGCTAGCAAATGGGTATTGTGTTATTAAAAAGATGAAACCTGATGAAAATGTAAACTATCAACCCAAGAGGGCTGGTCACCAAGAAAGTTTAACCAAATAAAGCATGTTGGTCCGTTTTGCTGAAACATCATCAACAAATCAAAATGGTAGTGAGTATTTAGCTTGTATGTGTTCCTGGTAAATTTAGGGCATTCTCATTTTAAGATGAGGCATAGTGTCAGGGGTTACCTCCTCCCAGATCTTGACCTGGGCATCACTACGCTCTGTAGTGATGCCCAGACATCTTTTCTTGTGACATTGAATGGACCTACTGTAACCTGATGCCACAGAGTTGTTCTGTTGGATTTTGGTCATGGGAGTGTAAAGTCCAGTCAATGGTAACAATTCCTTTATCCTTTAGGAACTGCCTCTATACCTTTGCTACATGAGGCTGGACATTTTCTACACTGACCCTCTGCACGAACTATAAGTCTTAGGATTTCACCCTGATACCTAATGCCAATCATGGGGCCATTTTTGTCTTACAAGTTTGTTACTCCTTGGAGTTGCTTTGCCAGGCCAATACTACACCACCAAACCCTTACACCCCTGTCACATAAGTGCAGAGTGAAGCTACGATAGCTTTTTTCAACTATTGCTACTTTCTATGAGTCCTTTTTGCTTCCTTTAACATTTTACATGGTTTACGCAAACAGCAAGTTGTGCCTTTGGCTATTCTTCTTTGCACAATGGCTCTAGATTATCCATTGTCCAAAGTTCTTTCTTATTATCTGTTTTCTTATCTTCAGCTCAGCCCAAAGGTTATTTATAGGATTTAGTTTTGGGGGACTCAGATTGTCATATAAGAAGGGTGATACTGTGTCTGGTGAACCATATATTTAATCTTGTCCATTATGGTTTGGATCATCATCTTGAGAAACTTGGTTTTCAGACAGTGATACACATTTCCCATTAATTGAAGTCCAAATCCTTACTACACTGGCTGCCTGCTCATTTTTAGAGTTCATTTTAAAATTCTCTTAGCCACAGGGTTTAATGGTCTTGCCCCACCCTGTCTCACTTGGTGACTCAGATCAGCTGACCAGCTCTGTTGCTGGGGGTGCCAGGGACCCAAAGGAACCCCATGGGGGATACTGTAGGTCTTTTTTTTTTTTTTTTTTTAGAGAGGCCTCTTCACAAATCATTTTTAAATCTGCTCTTAATACCTGTCTTTTCAGTTTGGCTTTGTATTCACTACATTTGATTTTTGTTCTTTTTTTCTTTGGTGTTGATATTTCTTGTCGTGTTTTATTTTTTTACTTTAATTATATATAGAAATTCCTTTTATTGCAAAGTGGCAATATGAACATAAAAAAACCTAAAACATCTTTGCCCAATTTTTTTATTTTTATTTTTTTTTTTATAATTCCTGTTGTTTTAAACATTTAACATGTTAATTGAGTGAAACATGGGGAACTTTGGAGAAAATTTGTTTTTTATGTCCTTTTACCAGTTTTTTGACACATTTATATAGTTCAGTAAAAAGTTCCTTTAAAGAAATTGCCTAAAAGAAATCTGCTTTTAAACACCAAGGGAACAGAGAGTTAATGTGTTTTATTTATTTAAGGTTCCTTAAGTTTTATTTAATGTAGAAAGTAGATCTAAATTACTAAAGGTACTGTTAGGAGCACATGCAGTGTTGTTCAGAAATACTTATATTCCAATACGATATTATTTTTACCCACCGATGAAAATTAAAAGTTGGACCATTACATTGTTTGCGTGTAAGGTTATCCTACTGCAATGAATTCTGAATTTATTTTTAAGTATTGTTGCACCTTTCTACCTTAAAAAAAGGAGTTTTAAAAATAAATATGGAAATTTAAACTAATAATTTTGTATGTTTTTATCATTTTTGTGGTAAAATCTGTTTTCACAAATCAAAATTTCTAAACATGTTTTAATATATTGTTAGTATGTCTTAACAAAACTATCACAAAGCAGTCAACACAATATCTTCTGACCAAAAAAAACTCAACAAGAGTCATTTCTTACATTATCTAAACATACCAGACTGTATTGTTTTGCTTGCAGTTGTGCTACTTAGATGAACCCAGTGCGCTAAGTAATCAGTTCAAACTGGTTAAACTATACCAGCTTAACAAAACCCACGTTCCTGCCTCTTCTTTATGAACCGTACAGTCCGAACATTCAGGCTCTTTTCAGAACGCCATCCGTTGGCAGTCTGCAGATATACAGCTCTGTAATTGGGAGTGACGGCTGGGCTGTCCTAGCTAGTCACAAGGACATTCGGACCCCAGCATGTATCCCCAATCTACACAGCGGATGGGGTAAAGGAGGCCCCTTCTATATTGTCATCCATGTGGACCCCTTGAACTCAAGAGAAGCTTGTCTCTAAATAGGGATTTAATGATGAATTAGCGGATGAAACGACAGTTGTTTATATTGGTGTTTTTATAAAACAGAAAGTAGAAGAAGTGTTAACTTTATGGTTACACAGACAGTATATCAATGGGTTTTGATACCTTTTATAAGTCCATTTAGGTTGTTTTTCATTAGTTTGTCTGTCCATATTCATTAATTTATGGTGAACTATGTTTTTGTTGTATTACTTCGGTTGGCCTTGTTTCAAGATCTATGCATTATTAAGGTTTCCTTTCAAATTTCCATCTTATGCTGCGTTTTTGCCACATATCCATTTTTTTTTTCTTAGCCACATTTTTTTAACCTTCTAATATATTTCCCCTCCTCAGCATTTTACCTTTATTCATTACATTTCTACACATTCTTTTTTTTTTTTTTTAGATGTATTTTTCCTACAGGAGTATTCAAAACCTGTGCCTACTCCTACATTGATTTAAAGAAGTCTAACCCCTGAAACTTAAATTTACTTAAACTTAAATCTAATATTGTTACAATGATAAACTGTAATGTGATTTGACTGGAATGTATTCGATGAACCAAAATAAAGCCGTTTATAACCATGAAGCAGAGGGAAAATTATACACATAAAAAGTTTAATGTCCATTTGTTTTTACCCCATTTACTCTGGTGCGCCTATATAAACCCTAACTTAAAAACAAAACAACAAAACATCAGGAAGTCAAGTGCATAAAGCTGTTCTTTGACTGCATCAGAGGATTATTAATTAACATTAGTCTACATACAGCATGATGCAGGCCAGAAACACAGCAGATAGGTCACAGATCTAATGTGAAGTTTTAGAGAGAAAGGGTTAGGTTATGAAATCATCATCCCTAGCTTTGGACCCCTATCAGAACCAGCTTCAATCTATCATCCTAAAATACAAGAGAAGGGTGGGGACAGAGAGCATTAATCAGAGAAACAGTCAAGATGCCCATGCTAAATCTAAATGAACTATCCACAGCTCAATGGAGAAATCTGGAAATCAGAACACAGCGACAGCATCATCCTGTGGGAAAACAAGAAAGTAGAGGGTGAAGATCATTTTTAACTGTGGCAGATTTTTTTCTTCTAGGAGGACAAGAACTACTAACATGTAGTGAGAGCAAAAAACAAATGGTTTAGATCAAAGTCTGTTGTTTGGTGCAGTCCAAGTTCAGGCCCAACTCAGATTCTGTGACGTAAACCCACTTTTCATGGATCTTCATTCAGTCTGACTAATGAAAAGCTTTATAGCAAAGAGGAACTCACAACAAATATCTGCCTTCTGTTTTTCTCTCTATTTGTAACATTTCAAAGGGTACGCACAAGATTCTGTGAAATAGTAGTCTAGATATAAACAATACAGCAAAAACAATACAACAAACCTTTTACTATATCGACACTAGTCAAAAAGCCCTAAGCTACTGAATGCATTTCTACTGACACTTTTAACTTAGAAAAATTATCTTTTTCCAAGGGATATTTCAGATTTAGAATTCATTCCGTAGACAAACTGGCTTGTGTTTTAGGACTATTCCGATTGGAGCTGCAACTAACAATTATTTTTCAAACTGATTAATCTGTTAATTATTTTTTCTATTTATCAATAATAATTGGATAGCCAAAGGTTCCTAAAGTATAGTTTTTACAAAATTGCCTACAAATGGAAATGTTCATTTTACTGCTAAGTTGCTCAATTACTGTTGGAAAGCTGTATGCATCGAAATTTCGTTTTGTATACACTCTGTTTATACAAAATGACAACATAATTTGTCTAAGTCTATTACAAACATTAATTTGAAAACTAAATGTACATCTAATAAAGTCCTGAAATCTAGTTTATAGCGACTTTTTAACCCTATTATTTAGTATTGGAACTAGCTTGAGGATACTTTTTCTTGTGTGCTTTAAAAAATATTTTAATTTGAAAAAGGTTTTATGTCCTCAAAAGGAATTCGATCAATTGATTAAGGGAAAAATCCACTGAAAGCCTATAAAGTCCTATGACTTTGAAATATCTGCTAAAATAATACAAAATATTGTCTGTTTATATATATTTTTTATGATCAAAAATAAGCAAATGCAAATAATTAAAGCTTAAACTTTTACGTTGAACAGCTGTTTAACCATCTCTTGTTGAACAACTGTTCCCTTTTGTTTGCATCGATGACCATGCTGTATGAGGGGCTGCTGAAATGTGTCTTTTTGTTAAAGTGCTCGGACTCGACGGTCGAGAGTTAAAGAGCTTTGCAGAGAAGAGTGAGGTCATTCTGGACCTTTCATTTATTATAAGAATTAGTTAGCCACAAGCCAGTGCACATAAGTCAAAAGGAGCCGTGGGAGTACTGTAGTGGGGGGTCCTGCAGGGGTGAGGCCATTGT